GGAAATAATGCCTTCTAAAGATTGATATATTATTTTTTTTCTTTTAGCCTGGAATGAATCCTAGAAGAAAAGTGCAATTGATACTGTCTATTTTGTGTTAAAGGTTTTTAACCTAGGATACTAGATTTACTTAACTTTCTCATACTTAAGTTATATAGAAATACTCTTCATATTTTAGATACCTGAAATGTTATTCAGTGAAACAAGTGATGAAGAAAAATATAGCGACAAAAAAAGAAAAGAAGAAAACAAAAAAAATTCAGGTGAAATCAATTTTATCTGATTTTTCTGTATGAAGTAATTGTCATTTTTACTAATGTTACAGATCCGTTAAAGATTCCTAATGATTATGAATTCAAATAATGCTAAATGTAACAGATTTCTTATAATGCAAACTAAATTTTGAAGTTCTTTTTATTTTTAAATTAGTTTTATGTCATTTAATTTAGAACCCAACAGAATATCTATTATTTGAATTTAAGAAATTAAAAAATTATATTTATGACTCGAGTGATCTGAAAGACCTATTTATATTGTGTAAAGTCTTTGACTAGCAGCCTAAACTTTTCACATTAGCTCATCACTTAGATATGTCATAGAACTCAATTCATACGTTAAAAAATTTTATATTCTTTGAGCATGAACATATTTTCTTAACTATAATATTTCTGTTATTTTCTCCAACTCCAAATTAATTTTGAATGTAGTCTTTATTTTTCTTTAACCATAGCTTATTCATTTATTTATCTAATCACCTTATCAAATATTTGTCAAACTTGTACTAGTTATTGAGCTGAATATTAGAGATGACTTAATAGCTCATAGTCTAGTAACAGCAAGAATTATGTTATATATAAACATGGAACTCTAATATAGCAAGGTAAGTGATAGCAGAAGTTCATATGAAGTGCATTGGAAAAGTGAAACTTCTATCTGGCATATATTATAGGAAATAGGCATTGCCCTATTTACAGGCAGCTTGGGAAGGGCATTCTGGTCAGAGTAGCTTGGGAAAGGCTTGGAGAACTAAAACAGGCATTTATATGGAACTATAAATAGCCTAAAGTGCTGAAACATAGCGTGTATAAATAGTGGAGTACTAGATGAAGAGGAAAAGGTTGGCACAGTCTGGTAATGATGAGCCTTCCATGTTATGCTAAGGAGTTAGGATTCTAACTTGTGGGTGATCTGGGGTTTTTGAGAGACTGTAATAGGAATGTAACTAGAGTCTTGTTTCAGAAGAAGAAATCTCCGGGTCCATCTCTTTCCTCAGTTACTGGAAAATAGATTGGTATAAAGAGAAATCAAAGGCAATTAGACCACTTAGAAGTCTGTACTCTAAGAGAGAAATGATGACGCCCTGAGCCAAGAAAGAGGAAATAAGGAACATAAGAAAAAATCAGTAAGGTAGTAAGGTCAGCCACCAAAAAAAAAAAAAAAAAAAGAAGAATTAAAAAAGAAAAAGAAAAAGAAGAGGTAGTAAGAATGGAGAGGAAGGAATGGATTTGCGGTCTATTAAGAGGTAATGTAAGTGGGACTTGAATATATAATGGCTTTGGCATACAAGGAAGGAGGAGAGGAGGAGTCAAGGATGCTTTTCAGGGTTCTGGCTTGGGAAATTCATTAAAAGTTGATTTCATTCACTGGGGTAGGGAACACGTAGGGAAATGGAGTCAGTGAGAGAAAGATAATGTGTTTGATCATGGATATATTGAATCTAATGTGTCCACATTCTTAACTTTTTGGCGTTTGAAGTCCTGTTTCTGTATTAAATGGGAGTGGGTAGCGGTTAATTTGGTTTGGTATCTCTTTTCTATTCAAGCAGCTTTTATTGATCTTGCTTTTGAATTACATGTGTTATGTAGTTCCAATTAACTTATATGTTATGAGACTTGTGGCTATATCTCTTCTGCATCATTAAAAATGTCCCGGTAAAACATATAACAGTGGAAGGATACCACTGAACTAGATAATTCAAAATTCATAAAGAAGATGGGCATTCTGAATAAATGTGTAGGGATGCCTATGCATCTTTAAACAAAGATAATGTCTCAGTTATATAGAGTGGAAGTATCTAACATGAACTAAATATAGTTAAAATTATTTTTTCTAATTCTCAATAAATCATGCATATATTAAGTAATTTTTATTTTTTTTCTAGTTGATCCTGATTTTCTAAAATCATTTTTGTTAATCCACGAGTCTTGTAAAGTACATGGTGCTACACCAAGCCGATATATGACCTTTTTACATGTGTATTCTGCCATTAGTAGCAGCAAGAAAAAGGAATTACTAAAAAGACAAAGTCATTTGCAGGTAAAATATTGGTAATCTTGAGTTATTTTATTTATATAGAGGAAACAAGGATTATGTAAATCACAACACCATATTCCTTGTGGCATGCATTTAGTATAAATAATGTACTGTATTAAAAACTTGGAAAACAGTCTCTCTTCCCTATCTATATTGCCAACTAGATTATAGTAATGATTTGTATTTTTTTGTTTCAATAATTATTACTCCTTTTCTTAATGGGATGGTGTTGATGTGCTTTTGATAGGTTATGGTGCTACCTTAAAGAGTCTCATTCACATGAAAGCATTTTTAGAAATGTAGAAATTCCTATTATTAAAACATAATATGCAAGATTATGCTTTATAATTATCTTTAAAATTAAAACTATAATGTTCTTATCCATGTCACTATACTTAGTACATTCTGAACAGTTTTCTTTCTATGTTTCTCTAATTTTAGAGCTTTAACTTAAATGTGACATTAGAATGCCAGCCTCTGAAGCTGTCAGAGAGCATTTCCTCTCCAAAGTTCTAGCTTCTCTTTGTTGGGGTAATACACTAGGATTCATCTTAATGGAAATAATTACATTTATTCTTCTTTTTAGTGATTCACTTTAATTTACCTTAAGCCACTAACTGTACTGTACAAGCTTTTGAGAGGGCTAATTTCCTGATTTAGTTCTCTGTAGTGCTTTGGGTAAATTACTTAAACTTTCTGAGTTGCAGTTTAATTTGGTAGAAAGAACCTAATTTGATGCCTGAACTCTATGTTGGGTGCTCAATAAATATTGGTTACATTCCTTTTTTGCCATGACTCTCTTCCCAAATCTTATTTGTTAGGTGACAAAATCCTAAGTCACATTATAGAAGAAAAGGAATTTTTTTCATGTTCTTTTCTTGGATTAATCATGGGCAGTGGGATGGGATATCATAATGGCCAGGCCAATGTCCAATGCCCACCCAAGAGCAGATAGGGCATTTTGAATGTCAGCCCACTGGGTCCATTTACAGGAAGGGTGGGCACTGGACAGACAAAACCAAGTCATGTCCACTATAAAAAAAAGAGTGACCCTTGAGTTCTTTTGCCCAATCAATGAGACTGAAAATTGGAAAAGGTTTACTGAGTTTTTCTTTGCTTTCTATTTTCTCTCTCATCTAACAAAATGGGTAAAAAATGCTTAATCCCAGTGTTTAAGTTACCGAATGTATGTTGGTCTGTTTAGCCTTACTATAATGCTTTAAAATTACATGACCTTTATGAAGTCTTTTATTACATCTTAACTGGTATAACATTAAATGAATCATTATAATTAGCAATAAGAAAAAAAACTTAAGTCTACTTGCTAGTGTTCTGTATGTAAACACTTTTTCTCAATTCTTTCCTATAGGGCTTTACTTAACTTTTAAACACTTTTTCTCAATTATTTCCTATAGGGCTTTACTTAACTGAGTGTGTGTAAAATCCTTTTTTTTTTAAATGTGGTCAATCAATATTTTATTGATGTAGGCTGGTGTATCTAAACTAAATGTAAACACTTTTTCTCAATTCTTTCCTATAGGGCTTTACTTAACTGAGTGTGTGTAAAATCCTTTTTTTTTAAATGTGGTCAATCAATATTTTATTGATGTAGGCTGGTGTATCTAAACTAAATGAAGCAAAAGCTCTTGTGGATGAACTTAACAGAAGAGCTGGAGAACAAAGTGTATTACTTAAAACTAAGCAAGAGGAAGCAGATGCTGCCCTTCAAGAGATCACAGTATCAATGCAGGTAATGTTTAAAAGTGAGCACAAAAGTGCAAACAGTAGAGTCAGCATTTATGTCTGATTGTCAACCAATGAGAAAAATAACATTTTTAGTCATGCGGATTTTAAAAGTACTGCTTGTTCATACTGAGTCGGACTGATAGTATTATGTACTTGAGCTTTTATGGAAGAGCATACTATTTTCCCATATTATTTAGAATCATAACTCAGTCCCCTCAACTGACAATATGCTAGTATATCTAAACCCTTTTTATATTTTAAATTGGTATGGTTCTGTCTGTAACTGATTTTGTTTATGCTTTGCCAGTTGCTTGTATTTCTTTTTATTTTTCTTAAAATTCTCTCCTTCGTGCTTTGAGAGTTTTCCCTGCCTTTAATATTCTAAAGATTTATGAAACAAATTTTTATTTATTTCATTAAGACTTTCACAATACTTTCTATTTTGATTATATCCCTTTTTAGCATTGTTCTTCTTTTGTTGAACACTTTTAAAGAAGATTTTTCTGAGTTCTTTTTTGCCCAGGTATTCTTTTATGTCTTCATGCTCTCTGAGGATGCTCTCATCCATTACATTGCTTTGTACTGTACTACCAACAATATACAATGATTACCAAATCCATCTTTTTTGTCCTTTAGCCCCAACCCCTCAGTTGAGCTTCAGACTCAGTTATCCAAATATCTGTTAAACATGTCTTCTTGGAAGTCTCATGAAACAGGTTCAAAACCGAACTCATTATTTTCCTCACTTGTATTTCTTTTCTTAGATTATAGCATTACAATATAGCTTATTATTCCAGACAGAACTTTTGTCTCAAGGCATTTTGGAAACAAATTAATATAAATATTTATTTAAAGTAGCCAGCCATTTTTATGGTTAAAATATCTAATTAATTCTTCCCTTAAAAGAGTAATTTGAAATATGAGAAAAGTAAAAGTACATAAAGATAACATTGTTGATAATTGTGTGATTGTAAAAGGAAAATATTCAGCAGCATGTGTGCTTTGTATACTCTCAGGCTAGTGCACATTAGTGACATACATTGAGAGCTGTGTTACTCTTTTCTCTGAGCTGTTCTGAGAAGGGATGTTTCTAAGATTGTAGGTGATTGTATTACCTAGCAGAGACCCAGAAGAATAATAACTGTGCATCTCATATTATAAGTTAATAATTTTGTTTAATTATGAGTAGCAGATATTTCTGTTTGATATTTTGTAAAAAGTACTATCTGGAGACAGCTTAAATACCAAACCATGCAATTTCTAAAGCATGCAATTCTAGGTTTATGGCATAAGAAAAGTATGAATTAAATGCTATAAAAACTCACAATAAAAATAACTTATAATTGGAAAAGGTGGTTAATAAAACAAGGAACACATGAGCTGGGCCATAAAGGAAGATTCCGATGTGTGGAGATGGAGAAAATAACTTTCTCTTTTGAGGAGTGTTAGCAGAGGTATAGAGGTAGAAATGCTTGTAGTGAGAAACATGCACTTACGCTAATATGTAAGGTACCTGAAGAATGGGGTAAAAGGAAAAGTTGGTTGGGTCAGTTATTCTCAATTTTGGCTGTAGACTGGAAAAACCTGATGTAAAAATTTATGCGCCCTGCTTGTACCCAGATCAAGTATATCAAGTATATCCTTGTCAGTAGGACATCAGGCATTTGTAGTTTTAGGTTCCCCAGATGATTACAATATAGTTGAGAAAAACCACTGTTGTAAGGACTCTTGAAAGGTTTCCTGGTTAATTTCTTCTTTGGTTTTCAATTAGTATAGATAAACCAAATACATACATTTATAATATTCAAACACTTTTTATATACATGGGATCTAATGCTCTTGATTTTTCCACTGTGAGTGAAGAAGTCATATGATT